GTTAGGTGTTTCGAGTTTGGATGTTTTTCCTTTGGTTAGATGTTGTGGATGTTTTGATGAATTCTTGTTTCGATTAGATGTGTTTTAGATGTTTTGTTGAATTTGGATTGTTCGTTTCGTGACGATGTGTCTCGTGCACTCGTCTGACAGTGATTCCCGGTTTTCAGGTGTGTAGGTGTATATATAGACATTAGGTTGGTTCTGATTGGGGGTTGTGTTATGGAGGTGGAAAACGTGGCGTGTTCTACTATTGGTCGACGAAAACTGTGACCTTTTGGTAACGAATGTTTTATGGTCCCGAGTGTTTTTGGGACCTATTGTCTGAGTGTCGCGCTGGTGCGTCCACAGGGGGTATATTGCGGTCTTCCGAACGTCGGCACCTCGGTCTGGCGGCCAAATGTGACTAAGTTGTTTATTACTATAATCCGCCGAACCGAGACTTCGTTGCGCCCTAATCAGGTCGCAACATAGATAAATGAATACGTAACTTCTAAGTCACATGGCGTTACAGAGGGTTAAGAAAATGCTTTCAATATTATAATGTATCTAAGTATTGCGCACAAAAACATGATAATTAAGGATTTGAAGTGAATAGAAACACCACGTGTCAGTGTTATTGTGACAAATAACCATCAATTCAAACAATTACTGATCCATTAAATACACACATAAGCAAACTATAAAATTCTATAAAAGAGTTGTTAAGGCCATGTGTTCAGGCTTACGCTGCGTGGACACAGGACATCGCCGTTTTTGGGAAAGTCAAGTATCTTCAAAGGACGTATATTTTCTCACGGGCTTGGGTCTGGCTGGAAAACAATAACAAATTTCTCTCGAAGGATTGCCAGCTAGACCATCTGAACGGCAATTGACGCATCGTAAGTCCACACGCAGCCAAAAGGGGGACCTAGGATTTATGGGTCGGTTTTCCGAATTGAGTCCTGCAGGCCTTCTTTACCGAACGAACACTTGGCCTGTTGGCGTTGCGCAATCGGGAAACCGCCCCAATTTTTAATTGGACAATCCTAGGTCCCACTTTTCTGCTGTTCCCTCTAAAATACGAATTGGAGGGAATTTTCCCGGACGATGGAGGGAGCAATTGCCAACTTCGGTGGAAGGCGTCCCTCCATCTAATCAGAACAAAATAGAATTTCGTACTGAACAGAACACCTCGCGACTCCTCTAAAATACGAATTGCCGAAATTCCAACTTCGATGGAAGGCGTCCCTCCATCTAATCAGAACAAAATAGAATTTCGTACTGAACAGAACACCTCGCGACTGAAAAATAGTTTAGACTTCAAAAATAGTCAATCCTACGATAAATTATTTGTGTGTAAATAACTGAGTTTTTATTTACTAAATATTCATAATTCTGAAAACATCTTAACAAGAGTGAATTATGTTGGATAACCAACCGCCTATTGACATTGAGTCACCAAGTCACTCTTAAGATCGAAAAACAAGTTACTCGTCGACCGCTGACTGTCCCTTCAAAGTCCTGTCCAACAATTCGTCACCAGAACCAAGTTCACCTCCTCCCCCAAATCCCTTCCTTATAAGTACACCCAAAAAATCCCTTAGGTGATCATTATAGAGTCCAAGCCTAAGAGCGGTCGATCTAGTACACAGCAGAAAACCACAACGTCTCTTCCCTTCGTGAAGTTCGCGCCTTGTAAATTCGGAGTCCGCGAGTACAAGTGTCATCGTTAGAATTAAAGTTATATTGTTAAAATATAATCGATATCAACTTTCCTCCCCGGATTCCAACAATTATTATGAATCGAATTATTTAAGATCAAACAGAACAACCATTTTTACTTCTAAACCCTCCAACGATGGTCATACAGGAAAAACACTTGTTCCAAACAATCCTGTTTACTTGCCAATTCGTCTATCATTCCTTTCAGCTCACAGTTGAAGCCGTGAGATAGTTTCGTTTGATAAGTTCCCCCCAGCTAATTCGTGGCACGGTATGATTTATAAAGAACAACGGGGGCCAAGTAAAAGTAAC